CTGGGTGCTTGGGTTCTCTGGCTGCTCTCAGTGAGGGTGGTGGCCCCAGGCCTCTCACTATGCCCTTTGGCTTCTGTGGGAAATCTGTGTGGCCTGGGGAAGTGCATCTCAGCCCAAAGTGGCCAGAGGTCTTCTCTGCCTTTCCCTGGACAGAGCAGCAAAGGGCAGCCCAGGGCTCAGGAGACAGGATGGAAGTCAGCTCTGCTCCTCTCTGGCCAGTAACTGTCCCAGGCCCTTTCTAGAGTCCCAGGCAATCAGCTCAGTGTGGGTTCTGGAATCAGATGGGCCACTCCGTCCTCCCTTGTTTGTATCTGGTCTGAGGCTAAGGCTTCAGAGCCACTCCTTGAGGAAGAATTCTAGCCCTTGGCTTTGTGCTGAGGGCAGCAACCAGGTCTTATTCCCCTCAGCCCAGTCCCTGGCACACAGTAGATGCTCAGTATTTATTGAAGGAATTCTGCCCAAAGATTATTGTCATTCTTGCCTAGGGGCAGATGAGGTCAAAGTTCCCTATTCACTGATATCTTCTTTCCTTAAGTGTTTTCAGGAAGGGGGCCTATTAGGGGATGCACAAGATATCAAAGTCTGGTCGATACTGGCACCAATAGCACCTACCTACCAGCCCCAACTCCCTCATTTTCCACTCAGTTGAGATGGGGAAGCAGACAGGACCTGGTGACATGTGTCTGAGTGTTCTTCCTTCACAGCATGAGCTACAGATGGTGGGCAAGTACAAGCCTGGGTAGGGAGCTGCCGGAAGGTTGAGGGTCTTGGGACATTCACAGAGTCAGACTTTTCAAACCGGAAGAGACTTTAGCTTATCCAGGCTAACTTCCTACTTTTTCAAGGCCCAGAGATGGTCAACAATTTACCCAAAGTCACATGGTAAGTTGTGGCAGAGTCAAACATGAACTCAGGTCTCTACCCCAGCCCAGAGCCCTTTGTCTCAGCTCTGCAATACCAAATTTGGCCATAAGGGGGCACTCATGGCAGGGTCCTGGAGGGCACAGGACATCCCCAAGGATGCTTATTCTTGCCAGCTGGACATGTGGAGGAGGAAGAATGGCATCCGTTCATGAAAATGAAATTGATTCTCCCGATAAGGTTTTCTCGCTGGAGCCTGGTTGAGCCTGAATCAACAGTGTCCTGAGCTGCCCCTGCCAAGCGGGGAGAAAGGAAGGGGGAGGGAAACACTCCAGGCCTGTTTCCCAAGTTTATTAGTTCACAGAGTTTATGACCTGCTGCAGGGAACATTTTTGTGTTTAATTCAAACACACTCTGTTTTCCCATTCCCTTGGTACCCTGCTGGGACAGGCCTGGGCTGATGACAGCCAGTCCTTGGGTGATGACCGGTATTGGGGGAGCTCTGACCTCCAGGCCCCAGTGTCGGCCCAACAGGAAGCAGACTGGACTGGCAGCTGGCATAGCCTGCAACTTACCCCAGGGCTGACACCTCTAACAGGGCAGGGAGAAGGGGGACCTCAGGAGGACAGGAAGGGGAGCAGATGGGCTTTTGTCACAGAAGCAGCCTCATTCCACAGCAGTCTTCAGGCTGCCTAGCAAGCCTTCCTGACCTGGTCAGTCAAATGTCTGGCTTCCCCCGACCCCAGCATTAACCTTCCCCACCAAGGTTCCAGGGTCCCTTGCTGTCTGAGAACAGTAGGGAGGGCTGCTCCTGGATTCTGCTGGCTGGAGGAACCCTGAGTGTTTAGAGGCTGCCTCCATAGTCCCAGCTCCTAGCTGAGTCCCAACTTGTAGAGCCTGGACAGCCTAAGATCCAGGCTTCCTGAGGCCACCCTTCACCCCAGCCCCTGGTGAAGCAGCTGGAGGTCCCACTCCTGGGCTGAGACTGTGGTCACTCACTGACCTCTGAGCTCAGACGCTGGTCACATATATGATCTCAGGGTACAGCTGCTTCTTGGGACCGTCTTGGCCTTCCAAGGTATGACCCCACTCTGGGACAGCCTCCACTCCGGCTCCTTCCTCCTTAGCCTGCCTGCCTTGCTGCTCCTTCTTCTGCAAGAAGTAGAAGCTGCCAGCCATGAAGAGGGCAGCTGAAATGAGGAAGAAGCTTGACATGTAGAAAATGTAGCTGAAGTTGTTGGTGGTGTCCAGGAGGAACCCTGTGGGACAGAGAGCAAGTCAGTAGGCCACTGCCGGGGCTACCAGGTCTCCCCTACTAAAGTGTGCTCCCTGAGAGCAGGGATTTTATTTTTGTTTCTGCTGTCCTAGGAATCGTGGCTGGTACCCCTAGGCACTTGATGGGTGTTTATAGAATGAAGTGGGGGAAGAAATACTAAACCTACTCTGGCCTGGGCAGAAAGGGTTTGCAGGCTGGGAAAGAACATAAGGGCATGACCCCCTTAACCTTGGTGACAGGGAGCTAGAGTCACCCACACCTCCTGGATAGCTCTCTCCACTTGTTTGCTTGGAGAACTCCCTTGGAAGCTGGGACTTCCAATCACACTTGGAGGAAGTGTCCCCATTGGGCTGGAGTCAAGCTCCTGGGTTTTACTGTAATAACCACCACCACGTCGTGTGTTGGCTGCTCTAGCCCCAAGGGCTTTGCAGACCTCCCCTCATTTGCTAGGATGTCATGCTCTCAGCTGCTCTCACGTGGGTCTCTACTATTTCTTTTATTTTCTTTTTTTTAGACTGGGTTTCACTCTTGTCGCCCCAGGTAGAATGCAGTAGCGTCATCATAGCTCACTGCAGCCTCCAACTCCTGGGCTCAAGGGATCCTCCCACCTCAGCCTCCCAAGTAGCTGGGACTACAGGCACATGTCACCACACCCGCTGAATTTTTAAATTTTTTGTAGAGATTGGGTCTCACTGTGTTGCCAGGGCTGTTCTCTCTCTATATTCTGTTTGTTTTCCTCCAGCATAAATCACCGTGTGGTCACAAATGTGTCTCTTTGCTTTAGTTCCCAACTCCTCCACCAGAAGGTAGGCCCCCAGAGGGTGGTGACCTTGGTATTCAACCATGAGCACCCAGCAACTGGCACAAGTGAATAAATGGTTAGGGCAGGTATTCTTGTCTATATTTTGTCGGTGACACTGTGTCTTAGAGAATGACTCGCCCAGGTCCCACAGGCAGGAGGTGGAACCACGATGTTCATAACAGCAAAAACTGGCACAGCGCTGACCTCGCACCAAGACTCTCTATTAAGCCCTTTGCCATGTGACTCGGGCCCTCACAGAAAGCCTGTGAAGAGATTCTTCCTATCCCCACTTTACTGATGGGAAAACGGAGGCACAGGAGGAAGACGAAGGACTCAGGTTGGTCTGGCACACAAACCCATATTTTTCACTGTTCCTACCCCGAGTGCCAGTTGAGGAACCGGCTGTGGCACAGTCCTCTGGAGATGCTGGCTTGGGCCCAAATCTGTGCACCCCTGTTCCCACCGCCCACGTCCCCCAGGCCACACATCTTGCTGCTCCCTCCCCCAGGGCCTCACCAGCCAGCGGCGGGGAGATGAGGACAGCGATGCCTTCCATGGTGGCGAAGAGGCCCAAGGCGCTGGGGAATCGATCCATGGGGACAAGGTCCATGAGGACCTGGAACATGAGGGCACCAATGCCACTCATGGACACGCTGTACACCAGGCAGTAGCCCACTAGCACCCGGAAGTCGGCTGACACTGTGCACACCAGGTTGGTGAGCCCGTTGAGCAGGGCTGCCAGGCAGAACAGGTATTTGCGATGGCTGGCAAAGGCCCGCTGGCTCGCCACCAGCCCGGCCAGGGGCCGCAGGAAGATGTTGCTAAGGCCAATGATGGAGATGAGCAGGGCTGCCCGCTCCTCATCCACACCATGCCACATGGCGTATGGCACCAGGAAGACATGTGGCAGCGGGAAGCCCACGATCATCCATGTCACACCCAGCGTGAAGACGCAGTAGCGCACGTTGTGCCGCAGGATGTCGAAGGCCAGGTGGCGCTGGATGGTGCGGCCACATACTGCCAGACAGCTCAGGGCAGGCGTCTTGGGAGGAGGAAGGGGAACTTCTCTGGTCTCAAGGGCCCTGTTAGTGGCCACAGGCCTCAGGATGGCCCCACAGACGCAGCAGTGGAGAAGGACCCCGCCGAAGACAAGGAAGGCTCCTCTCCAGCCCAGGTCCTCGAGCAGGTAGAGAGACAGCAGCGGCCAGAGTGTGATGCCGAGGGAGACGCCCACTGAGGCCAGTGCGTTGGCCAGCGCCCGCCGGCGGATGAAGTAGAGTCCCATCACCGTTATGTTGGACTGGAAGCTGAAGCACATGCCCAGGCCTGCAATGGCAGAAAGGAAACCAGCTTGGGGGAGTTCTACGGCCTTCCACCTGCACCCAGAGCTGGGTCAGGGGTCATTGCACATGTCTCCCCACTCCTTCACTTCTAGCCCAGACCCACCTCCAAGTCCCCAGGGACTGAAGACGGAATCAGACTGCCTCACCACCTCCCTGCAAGTGTCCCACCCCAGATCTGCCCTCCCCTTGCACCAGATCTTTTAAAAACCTAATAAGTGCCTCCGTGCTTAACACTTCCAGACTTCCCATCGCACTTGAAGAATATCCAAAGCATCTACTATGCCCTGGGAGGCCTGTGCCAGTTGGCTCCAGTCCACCTCTGAGATGTCATCTCAGGCCACTCCCTGTCACTCCCTAGGATCGAGCTTCTTTCTCTCCCTCTGGATGCTTCCTCCTGACTTCCCACTCACATCTCAGCTCAGATGTCACCTGCCCAGAGGGGCCTTCCCAGCCCCCCACCCGCTCCATGCCTGCACCTGCACAGCTGAGCGTGCTGGAGAGAAAACTCGAAACCACACGTGACCACTGGCCTCGGCGCTGGAGCTACCCGTGATGCCACTATGGCTCCCTCGGTCATGCCCTCGCGGGCTCCCCTCTGCCCAAGACCACTCGGGCCTCTTCTTCCTCTGTGCAGGGCAAGGCCGCCTTCCCATGCACGCTTGGTGGCCTGCCCGCCCGCCATGACACGGCCCACCCACGCCCCCAGTGGCTATCCCTCAACTGCCCTGTGTCCTGTCTACTCAGAGGCATCCTCCAGCAACTCCCCTCTCTCCTGCATCATCCTCTCCTCTCTACTAGATCGCTCTCCCTCACTGTTACTTTTCTCATTTAAAAAACCCAAGAAAACCTCTCTTAACTCCACAACGCCTTGCGGATTCTGGCCCGTTTCTCTGGTCCTTTCCCATCAAAATGCCGTGGCAGGCCGGGCGCGGTGGCTCACGCCTGTAATCCTAGCACTCTGGGAGGCCGAGGCGGGCGGATCATTTGAGCTCAGGAGTTTGAGACCAGCCTGAGCAAGAGCGAGACCCCGTCTCTACTAAAA